GACGCAGAAAGATAAACTGGCTGAAACAAAAAAAATATTTTTATGCATATTTTAAATATTGACGCAGAAAGCTAAACTGGCTGAAACAAAAAATAATATTTTTTGACCACGGCACACCATACGGAATAGCTGGCTTATTCCACGCCTCCTTAGTGAGAATCCCAGATATATTCGATCCACGCAGGAGTCGAACTCTGGTCGCTGGGAGAACCACTGTGATCCCAGCCATTGGGCTACTACCCCGTTCTCAACTGGCTAAAACAAATTCGACTTAAGTTTTTTCTTAGAAGTAATTCGAGTTAAGTTTTTTTTTTTGAGACACAATTTGAGTTAAGTATATGGTCTAGGGGGGCGGAGACACAACCTGGGCATACCGAGCCACGGCCCAGCGGCCGCACGCAGGCCACGTTTAGCATTCTATACGGTCTAATAAGCAGGCCCAGGCCTAGTGGGATCCTGCCGCTGGCCATGGTCTAGTCAAGATTTTTTTTAGGTATAGTCTTCAAGATCTTTGTATAGGAAAGAAATAGTACAATGGTAAAGAGAACCACCATGTGGTTATATGGTTAGAAGGGTAGTTGTGGTAGTGCGATTGTTTTCATGAGATTTCCTAATGCCCTACATGTCTAGCACAAAATGATGCATGTGTTCGGTAGTGGAAACATTCGCGAGAAAGTGGCCATCAAGGATCTGGACATCGACGGGTTTTGGTCTCCTCTCGGAGATCTCAGCTTTTGGTGGCGCTACTGGATATCTAGATCGGAATTGATCCGATCGAACACGCCCTCATCTTCGGCTAGAGAGGCTTCATGAGGGCGTGGCGTGAAGCTTCACCATCTTGCCGGTGCCATGGGACATGTCTAAGTATAGATTTTCACGGTGTTGACAGAGGTGAAGAAAGTCATGGTGGCTGCGATTGGAGACTTGTACTGACGAAGATGATTTTTGGTTGCGTTGAAGAATGGTGGCATAGGTTTTTTCTGTGTGTCGGGTGTTGAGTACTTGCAGTTGCGGCTTTGGCAGGAGGGGGCGACAACACAGGTGGAAAGCATTTTGGGTGGTGCTCTCGAGTACCGAGCCGCGATTTCCAGGGATGAAATCCAAGGTATGGCCTTCATTGGTTGTACCTGGCAATGGCCTTGCTGAAGACATTGTTTGGGGACCTCGGTCTTTCTTCAGGGTGAAAACTCAAGATCCTTTATCGGGCAACGACAACGCTTCTGCATTGTTTCTTTTTTGGAGGCGTTGTTTTTGGAGGACCTGTTTTGCGGTTCGAGTGTTGTCTTTGCTGGTGGTTAGAGTGTTGTGTTGCAAGTGTTTCGTCACTACGACGGGGTCTTTGTTTTTATATTTCTCTCTTTTTTATTTTGCTTTTGGTTGTGTGCATCCTGAATGTATTTCAATATCTTGTTGGTGCGGACGTTGGGTGTAATTGATATCTTCGTGATATTAATACATCCCTCTTAAAAAAACTGTGCAAGATGATCAAAGGCATCTGAATCTCAGCAAATAGTTCCCGCAAAAAAAAAAAAGAATCTTAGCAAATAATACACGGCCACTCCGCAAAATACAAACCACCGAAAATGAAGGTGGCAAACATATAATGACGCTGGCACCTTGCATTGCAAGCGCACTCTTGAGACGATGTAATGGGT